TTCTATATTAAATACTTTTAGAAATATAAACTGATTCACTCGAGCTCTTCCACTTATATTGTTTTTTTTAGATCAATGGTAATCAAATTCTAGATTAATTTGTTTTGAGTTTTGAAATCTTAAACTGCAATATCATTTACCCATCGCTTTTTCTAATCCGACCTAGAAATATCACCATTTTTCAATATATTTTGTACGTACCAACTGATGGATATAAATAAATTGAAATAAACAATTTTTTTGGTCATAATAAATGGCGTACTTTTGGGCCTAATATAGAACAAATTTATTATATAGATACATAAATTAATATTTTATTTAAATAATCTAATCTTATATTCCTTATAATATATATTATATTTTTAGTATTCTAAAGTATTCTCAGTTTTATTTGTATTCATAAATTACTATTTATAAAAGTATATATTATACAAAGTAGTTTTATTAACATATTTACATGCTGAAAAAATAAAGTTAAAATATAAGTGTTGAATAATTTAAAAAAAAATGTTAATAAAAAAGTAAACATTTTTTTATTATTTATGCAACAAGATGCTATCTAGCCGATTTTTTTTTTATGGAGAAATGCAAAATCAATATCATAGATTACCTCTTTTAAAATATTTTCAAATTATTGTAAGATATATATAATAAATTAATTTTAATTTGTGAATAGTGATTATTGTGTAGGTTTATTACTTATAAAAATCTATGTAGCCCTTTTTAAACGTAAAGTTCAAATTCGTTCATAAAAATGATAATATGCCATTAGAAATATAATACATACGTAGTATCACATAGTTTAGGGAATGGTTTACTGATGTATCTATTCATCTCACCTTAATAAAAATTTAAATGTTTAAAAATTTAAATGATCAAATTGTTTTCATAACAAATTAATACGATAAAAATATGAAGTGTATTCGTTTCTTGCGAACGTAATATTTCAAAGATGACGGTCATAGATAATGATCATTATTTCCGTCAAAAAGTCAAAATAAACAAAACACGAATAGAATACCTTACGCAGGAATCAACTTGGTACATAAGTCAGAGAAAAGTAGTTTTTATTTTTAAAAAGTATTTTACATAAGCAATCAATGGGAGGTTTATTATCATTTTGAAATACTATATTTTTTTAATAAACACTTCCGTTTTTTCGCGTAATGATTAACACAAAATTAATAACGTTATAATTAAATATACAAAATAAGTCAAATAAATGGGTTTAGGTTGACCTCGTTACCATTTTTGAATACTCAATTCTAATTCTATTAAATTTGAACTTATGGCAATCGAAAAAACGTTTTATAAAAAACTTAAATGGCGCGTTTATGCCAAATATATGATTACGTAGGATAAAATATAGGATAAAATCTATAGAACATTTTTCGATGGCCGTTAAAATTCAAGTGTATAAGAACTAAGTTTTAATTTGTGTCCATAATTCTTAATTAAATCTTCTGTGATTTGTAATAAAACTATTATAATCGTATTTGAAATTATTTTATTTTGATATTTAAGAGATTCGGGGACATTTTATTATATTTTCATTGTTCACTAATTTATAAAACACAAAACTTTTTTTTATCAAAAAAGTATAATTTTATTTATAATTAAAGTTTAATAAATGCATTAAATAAATGTATCTAACTCTAAATTAAAAAAGTCAACGATATAGTTTGTACAGTAAATCTTTTTTATAATTTTTTTTCTATAACTTCATAAACATATAATACACGTTTCATAATATCCAAATGATTACGTACAGAAATTTTACTGCAGTTTGTTACAGTCAACTATTATGTTTTTATTAGCGAAATCTGTATGTTTTTATAAATATGTTTCATTTAACTATATATTTTATAGTATTTCTCTATGATTATTAAAACTAATAAATACAAATAGTTTAAATCAATCATACGACAAGTATAAAGTGAGTTGTAACTACTATCTTATATTATTAATTATTTTATAAGAAATTGTATTATATGTGAAATCTATTAAGAGATTAGAGTGTCATATGCTATTCTTAGAGGGTTTATTCGTCACTAAGTAATATTATTTTGTAGGCAAATGCGTTATGTACAAATACAAATATCATTCAACTAAAAATATTTCAAAAATAAGGAAAAGCATATTAACCTTTTAAATCCTAAATTTTCAAATAATACTTATAATACTGGCAGTAAAAATAGATTTATCGTTTATTATAAGTATAGATTTTTACAACCACCAATGAACGAACACAATACAGCTACTAGAAACTTTAACCTTGAGACTTTTATTGTTGAAAGTAAATTATTGTAGTATTGGCTACTGGGAACCAGGACCCATAATCTCAAACCCTATTAACAGAATCGAACGTATAAATAGCGTTTTAATATTTTTTTATTTTTCCATAATGTTGACAAAGAACTATAAAAGATAACAAGAATTTTCTAGTGACATTAAGACCTTACCCAGTATTGTACTAAATAAAGATAGAGTAAAATAAATAATTGCAATTTTTGTAATTTCAAAAAAATTATGAAAATAATAGAATCTCAATTTATTTATAAATTAAATTTAAATAAATCATAATATATTTATAAATATAAAAAAATATTTTCTCTAAAACAAAAAGGATCAAAGATTGTTTTGTGTTTTAATTTAAATCATTGAAAATAACTAAATATCAGTTTATAGTTTATAAAATGTAGTATATATATATATATATATGTATATACATTTAAATTACAAATATATTGTTTTATTTATTTGATAATTATTTTGTGCAAAAGTATTTTTCACTCAAAAGATAAGACGTTTATTAAAATGTTAAACAAAGATAAATTCAAAAAAGAAAAAAGAACAAAATTAGCTATTTGTCAAAATGTATTTTAGATAAATAGTTATTATGAAAGTAATTTCAACTATTCTATAAAAAAAAAAAATTATTTCTGCGTTTATTTTTGCACATAAAAAACGATATAGTTAGGTTATGACGGTCTGATAATTATCAATCGTACTATTACAGCTTAGTTAAGTCCCTTTAATCTCTGTAATCTTGGAAATTATGTTGTATTAGTCTCTTGTCAATATCCGACTAAAACTCGTTCCCAATAGACTCTTAGACGATGACGAGTTAACCAATATCTCTTGTATATTTTTCGTACGAGGGTTGAAATAGCGTTAAATTAGAGTAAGCGCAAAATATCATACAAACTATCCTTCAATAAACGTCATATACTTACCATTTTTATCGTCTATATCATGGAAATTATAAATAAATAAATTAAGTTTATACAATACATCGCATCTGTGTTAAATTTAATACTATACATTACTATATGAATTAAAGAAAACTGCCAATGGTAAGTTTTAGAATTCTCGTAAAATATTTTCTTATAGAAAAGTTGTAATGGAACCAGGGGCACAATTTCAATGAAAAAACTGAAGGTGCTGAAGCCCTCCTATCTTTTCATGTTCCTTAATGGTTATAAACACCCGCAAACCATACAATTCAACAGATACTAAAATATTTGGTAAATATATGAATATTTCTAAATTTAAATTGTTCACTTTGATTTTATATTTTTATCGTGCGTATAACGAATTACCTGTCTGTAAACACAAATGTTTTATTTATTATTATTTATTTATTTATTTTTTTCACTATTAGATTTTGACTGAAGCAAAGGATATTATGGTTTTATAATGATGTTTGTATTTTATTTGTTTAACACTTATTCGGATAGAAATACTAGTCCAAAAGTTTTTTCTAGGACTTTTTTTAGATTTTAAATTAGCATGTCATGGTATTTTAGGTAGATCATTTTTTTAAATCTTAATAGTCTTTCTAGACGTGAAGAAAAAACTGTCCTGAAATGGTAAAAATACACTATAAATAAGACTTTTACACTTCAAATTTTAGTTATTTAGTCATAATTTCAAAAGTAATGTGGCTAGAAACTTGAAACTTTTACCCTATAGCAAAGCTATTTTGTTTTTCGTATAGCAAAATATTTTCGTATTGTAGAACAATTTATATATTTATACAATAAAACTCAAAAATTACTATGTTTTTCTATACATAATGAGTAATGAGTATTTAAATGTAAATTAACATAAACACATTTGGGGGTGCTAATTTCGAAAATGTGGGTACTAAGCACACCCAAGCCCCCCTCAAATTGCGCCTATAAGTATAACTTTAATAGAAAAGTTTTTAAATTGCGACAACTTCTATAAAAATAATATTATAAAAGAAAAGTATTAGAATATGAGATGCTCTTTAAAGTTTATAAAAAGTACATATGATTTAGTGATTTATAGTTACTTCGTACGTAGCATTGTATAGAACTGTTTTTTTCAACCTGTAATAAATAAATACAATTTGAAATTGAAGTAAAAACAAATAATACTATACTTTTTTCTTTTTCTTTATTTTTTGTTCATGCATAAACCCTACAAAGATTTGAGTAGTTAATTATTATGCTTTATCGACCTTTGTATCAGGCAGTTACCATTTATGCAGTTTATTTATTTATTTATTCATTTTTGAAGATAAAAATATATGTTTTAATTAATTTATGAAATTTAAAATTTGTATTTTTTTTTATTAAGAAACCAATGTTTTTTTTACAAATGTTCACATGTTAAAATAATTTATTCAAAATTAAGAATATTTACAAGTCCTCGTATACTTTAGTTGTGTTTTTTGTACATGATTTTTGTTAGTACCCATGTATTTACAATTTGTTATCAAAAAATTGGATGTGAATTCGTTTATATAATTTTTATTCACTATGTACTACGTCATCACAATTCTAGCGTAGCTATTTGCATTGCTGCCTACGAGTAATAGATTATGACAGATAATGCATGTATGACGTTATTTTGAAATTAAAAAAATACTCAAGACAACCTGTTCAGATAAGGGATTTATCTGATCGATTTTTAGTGAATGCATTGGTTAGTGTAATATTATGTGATTAGTATTTACTTGAGCATGAATATTTTGAGTTATTGCCAACGTGATATTTCATTCGAATATAATGTGTAATGATACATGTTATGTGTTCACAATAATATACAAATGTATGTATGGTTAACTGTTTACTATTATATTTACCGTAAATGTGCCTTGTGATAAAATATATTTTATACCACGTATCCGTGGCTCAATAGATCTTATCTAGTTGCCTAAACTATCACTAGAGTGACACTAAGTGTCAATAATCGTCCCAGGATATTGAAGAACAGGACACAGACGACAACACCCGTTCGATTAAATTGAGGTACCTATAAATATGCCATTATTGTGTGTGTGTGTGTGTGTGTGTGTGTGTGTGTGTGCGCGCGTGTAATAACTTGGTTAACCACCTTTTTGTAAACCTAGTTGGTATTAAATACCTACCGTCTCCTACAGTTGAAGTAGTTACTATCAGTATTAATTATACACAGTTGAAATGCACTTGTGACATGATCTTTTTTTTCTTGATCTTTGTGTGATCAAACCAAACCATATTATTGGTTTGATATATTGGGTATAATAAAATATATAAATAAATATAATTATAATATAAAATTGAAAATAATGTGCTAGTAAATTTGAAAGAACCAACATTTTTCCCTTCACCGTCGTACATTGTTGCACACATAGGTATACTTTAAAACGAGCTTCGTGAATTGATATTTCATGTTTCTCGTAATAACTATAACTTAAACATATATATTATTATGAACACTATAATCAAATTACTACACTACACTACTTATATTAGATAGTAATAGTGTGTGATGGAATGAAAACAATAGAAAACATTTACCACAGAACGGAAAGGTCACAGAATAACGTCATTTGTTGATAAACTCGATCGAAACGTACAGTTAGACTTGGATCTTATACGATTTATGTTTTTAAAATGTATACAATTATATCACAAGAACGTTAAATACTTTTCTATCAATAACTAATAATAATGACTTAGGAAAATAGTGACATACAAATGACATGTAAATGTCTTAAGCTGTAGCGGTGGAGAGGGATTGAAGTCTTCCATAATATCAATGAAAAATAATAACTTCACGTTCTCTGTTCACTTTTATTGAGATATAAATATTAAATAAGTACATTATATTGTGTAATAATACTTTCATCATAATATCGAGGTAAACTATGTTAACGATAATATAATTTCATCACTAACTACCATTTAAATGTGCCAATTTAATTAATAATACTAGGTTGTTTCTAATTTTTTATTCTAGAAATTATATCCATCCATGTAATTTATACGTCATGTTTAAGGTGTTTAATGTTTATCGAATACATTTTATGATTTATAACTGATCGATATAATATGAAGCATACTAATTTTATATCTCGATAGATAATTATGAAATATTATATATTATATTAATAAAATCGTGACTCTATTGCGTTTTTATAAATTATACTTACGCGTATGAATGTACTGACACATTTCACTGTTCGTAGCTAATATAATGATCGCGTCTTCACTATTATGCAAATGAATCTATCGAAAACTGGGTAAACGGGTGCATTAATTATAGATAAATACTTTTTAACCTTCCCAACATATCGCACTTATAGAATCAAAAGTGTATTGCCGATCGTGTCATGCACATATTTCAAGTTTGTTTTACTAATAAACCATTGAAATAATCAAATTAAGTATATAGACCTTTTTTTTTTTTTTTTATTGTTAAACCTTATTAATATTATAATTTTTTAATATTTTTTTTTACTAAAATAACCTCTAGTCGGTCTGCACGAAACACGTGTTAGCATCGCTAGAACGCCATATGACCATACATGTGTAATTAGACACCGAGTCAAGTTCAATAGCCCGTCGACCCCACGATTTATTTTTCATCCCATACACCATCACGTACACACGATGACGTTTGATGTAATAGGTTCCTATACATAATATTCTAACACTTACACCTCACACATCATCGTCATATTATACTACCCTCTTAAATATTATGTCCCTCTTCGCTTCACGCCACCTAAAACCACACCGTAACTATACCCGTTCGTTGTTACATATATACACGTAAATATCTGTATTTATGTTACATGTGTTATACATATACTACGGTGTTTAACTCCCACATATAATACGTATGTCACGTAAATTTTTCTTTTTTTTTAAAAAACAACAGAAATTAAGTTTTCTTTTAAGTTATAATTGTTACACTTATTATAAGACATTTAGATGTCCTAAAAAATCGTAAAATAATAATAAAAAAAAAAAAAATCAAAATCGAATACATTCAAATGTAATAATTATTAATAATATTAGTTATAAAAAATATATTTATAAAATATTATATATAAACTATTATGTGATTTGTTATGAAAAAAATTCGCATTATAACTTTTTATAACTTTTTACACATAATTTATGTTAATACATTTTTTTTTTTTGAGTTTTTAATACTCAAAATCACATTAGCAATGCTATATTTTCTTTTTATTAGATGTATAGTTTTATGTAATTGCTACATCATAAATATATATTATTGAGTAAAAATTGCCAACGACAACAAATTAAAATAATAATAAATAATCACCACGTTTACTAATGAGAAATATTATAGCTATTTTTTTTTAATATTTTCACATTTTTGATTAATAGCGTAAAAATAATTCTTAAACCGAAAAATATTCATTCTACAAATGTTCCTAGGTGTAATTTCATAATAACTTCTAGTTGTTATATGTTAGACTTCTAATGTAATTTATAAAATATAAAAAATTATATAATATTAATTTTATCTGAAAACATGAACTGTAATTTTTTTTAGAATATGTAAGACAGCAACAATTATTTGCAGATAGCATAGTTAAAGCTGATTGTATATGTTGTACATTTTAAAGGATTTTGAATGATAAAATTTGTTTTCCTTACTTTAATGCGCAACATAATTCAAATGTTATTACTATTATCATTTATCCGTTATAAGACTAAATACACACTGAGTGAAAAGATTATTGTAATAATATCATATTATACTGTTATTATAAGTTGCACAATAGTTTTCTTTTGTTTGGAGATTGTTCAACAACGAATCGTAAAATGGAATTTAAATAACTAAACCGACGTTATAGTTGAATCAATCAAAAATAAAAGTACATCCAATCTCATTTAACTTTGAATACGTTTTAAGTAATTTTGAAAACGAAAACTCTCCGCCTTGCAACGAAAGATATAGCAATAAACATTTAAACACAAGACTATTTCATGCGGAAAATTTGATTAAATTTAGGTAATAGAGATAATGCACGACCAACTTAAATTCATGCATAAAACAAAAACTTCGACAGAACGTTGGATTTGTTTAAGCATAATATGTGGTTATATACATACATATTTCCTTTAAAAAAAATAAAAAAATATTAATTTTGTGTTTTAAAACTAAAGATTGCAGAACTAGATTATTCATATCATTAATTTTTTACTTAGTTATTTACAGGCATGTAAATTCCCTTTAAAAATTAATGTAATCTATAGTTTCTTATTTAATCTATAATTTGAAATATCTTGAATGTGAGATAAATAATTTATCGACAATTATGAAAAAAAAAATATAATGGAATATTATATTTTTTGTAAATAAAGTGAAGATAAATTCCAATAAACAATAATTGTATTTCGTATGATACTATACTTTATTGTTAATAACGTCACGAAAAATAGTACAAAACATATTTTTTTCGTCACTGTAATACAGGCATCATTTATTAATCACAAAAACTATTGTTTATCACACATTATTTCATATATTAAATAAACGTTTGACATTTAAAGTTGTTGTATAGGTATATATATAGGTATAATAGTTATAAGCATTCTATGTTTTAGCATATTATATGCATATTCGCAAAACATTCGAGTTTATTAAAATTGTATGATAAATGTTCAAAGTGCATTCATCCTATGACCTTGACTTGAAATCATAATTTATCAACGCCTTTAAATTAATATAAATATTACATAATTGATTTATATAAATTATAACATATTTATCCTAAATATTTACTGTCCGAAGCATATCCTATTTTATTTAAACATTTCGATAAAGAACCATGACTATAAACAAACGCTTGATCTTTATATCCGATGTTTCTTTGTTTTATTTTAGATCATAACATTTAAACCTTAACACTATATTTAAATATTTTCAATTAAATATAAGCTGTACTTAAATTTTGGACAGTTTTACTTATTAACTGGGGTGGGTTTTTTCTTTTTAAATTTTTAAATAAAATTTAGTTAAAATTATGAAATGTGCTCTTTTGTACTACAATATATAATATCCACTTTTTTGGATTATGAGATAATGTAATGATTTTACAAAAGCTTATATACGATTAAGCCTTAAGTAGTAAAAACTGAACCATAAGTATCATGCGTAGTTTTTTCAATATTAATCAAAACCGAAAACAACTTATAAATAATAATAAATGTTGTTAATAAGCTAGAAAAGTAATTTCGTGTTTTATGGCTTCGTAAATTAATGCAAGGCTAACCACAAGCCATTTCTCCTAGTATTATAAAATGGAAGATTTGACACAGTTAATTTTATTGTTTATAAACGTTTAACGAATTATGAAGTAACTGGATGTACGAGTATATTTTTACGTACGATAAAATTAATTTTTTACCTTAATAATGTTTTATTTTTTAAAATTATTTTAGACAAAATAGGTAGATATCTAATTTTCTTTTTGTTCTCCTGTTATTTTCATATAAGTAGTAAATACATCAAACACCATGTGGTATAATAACTTAATACCCTCTATTATTATTAAATTATATAATTGTGTTAAAATCAAATAATATAAGATTATCAATACAATATTATATATAACACTGACCATAAATAGTTTAATCATTATTTCGGAATCCTAATCAGATCGGGTTAATAGATAAAATCGGGAAAATTCATCCATATGATTGGTTATAAATTAGGCATATAAAACTATCCTCTGAGTGAAATGAGTGTGGTATGCAGTATTGTGCCTCTATCTAATAGGCGATTAACGACCAATATGAGATTTATTTACAAGCTTATAACTGGCATAATTATTAGTTCGAAATTATAAGAAAAAAATAAGTGGAAAATCCCATTCTTTAATGTCAGAGTCGCTGTTATATTCAATGTGACCATAAACACTAGTAATTATGTATTAAATAGTCCAAATTCCTGAAACAAAATTAAAAACTTTGACTTCACTGCGATCATTGCATATTGAGTATTGAATAAAAATTATTTCGTTATATTGTATACTTATATATATATATATAAATATATATATAAATTATGTAAAATCTAATTCTTATTAAAATATCTGTAATTTTACCCTATGGGGTATTAAAATAAAATAAAATAAAATAAAATAAAATAAAATAAAATAAAATAGACTCAGAATCATCTGATACATTCTGATGATATATCATTAAATTGCTAACAATTATAAATATTATATCTACGACCCTTTTAGGGAAACCTAACCACTATACCTTATATGCTCGCCAATAAAATATTTGTTGGAGAGGTAAATATCAAATAACATAATATGCTAGGTATATAGGTTCAGTATGTGTTTTAAGTTATAGTCTATTTTTTGAATCAATATCTAATATTTTCCGCTTATATATTTTTCCGATAAAGCATTTTTAAAGAATCTTAATGGTACAAAATTAAAGTTTTTATTTCAGAGTATGGGACATTTTGAAAGTTATTAAAATAAATAAATAATTTCTAAAAATTGATAGCATAATATTATTATGGGTTATTAAAATTTTAAAATAATTTAGTTATAATATACAAGTTTCGACGGAAACCATTTTTTAATACATTATTTTATTGTTAATTTTTAACAATTTAAACTAAAAATAGTACTGAATATTCTATTATCAACATTTCTTACAGTTTTTGACACATTGCTTGAAATACAGCCTCGCACACTCATCATATTTTAACCACTAATATCTGGTACCAACTTATAACTAACCTGTGTGACGAAGGAAAGAAATAAAAATCAAAACATGAATTAAAATCTATACCCAGTCAGACATTTTTTTAACTTTCATGCAAAATATATAAAATTATATTAAATATTGTAAAAACAATTTGATTAAAAGAAATATTGATTATTATATACATACAATATAATATTCTAGAATTAATAATATAAATTATGAGTGTAGTTGAAAATCATGATTTTCCAAAGTGTCTTATGTAATAACCAGGGTTGTGAATTTAATGAACTAAAAGCTATTAAATATGCACCAAACACTTATGAAATATACATAAATATATACTCTTACAATTCTTAAAATATTCACTAATTTTTCAAAAACATGCAAAAAACACCTAAACATATTATTAAACTTTCTTTTAGTATTAATATTATTGAAATATAAATTTTTATGTTTCAAATTTAGGTATATGAATTCTAGACTATTCTTGATATTTGTTGTTTACAGTTTGGAAATTTTCACTATAATAATTAAAGCAGTATTTACGCACCTCAACGTGTAAAAATAGATTCGGGATGTAGTGGTAAGTTTAAACACTTTTTAAACACACACTTGACATTTGCAATTAGTTTGTTAAATTTTGGAAATTTAATGCGTATTTGTTCGGCAGTTTCATGCAGTCCACGAGAAAAACAAAAGAATCCAACTATAAATTGAATAATTTCATGAAAACTACAATAACATTCAAGCACATTTGGACCAGATTGCTCGAAAAAATATAAATATTCAGAAAAAAATTATTAATGCAAAGAAATCACAAAAACATGCATTTATTATGTCCTAACCAATTAAATATGCAAAAATATGCAAAATAAAATATCGTTATTACATTATAAATAATTATTGACCGAATCCATTTTTCCATACCAAATAGCAAAAAAAAAAAACATGCAAATGCATAAAATTCAAAACCTTAGTAATAACTTTTTTGTAAAAACACAAATAAATATTAAATTCCACTATTATGTTATTTTAATAAAAAATAAAACATATTCATGATTCATTTTCACTTTGTAGTCATATTTCATTTTTAATTTGTTATTAACGACTTAGTTTTAGCCAATCTATAGTTTTATTTATTAATCTATCGATTTTTTTGAATTTTTATTGAAATATTTTATTATATTTTAAAAATGATTTATTGTTTTACTAATTGAAGTTATTGCTATTTGTATGTATATATATTTTTATAGATAAATTAGATATAGTTGCCTCTAAATTACCATTTATTGTACATTTGTACATTTACTGGGTACAACTGTACATGTTTTCTTTCATAAAATATTTTAGGTATTTAAAAATCCATTTTATCGAATTAGAACAATTATATGTGGTTACAACATTGAAATATATTATTGCCGCAAACTATTAGGTACTTAAACAAGGTTAGTCTTGATATTTAATTCTGTGATATTAAATTAAATTTCTAATAGATTTTCATATTTTACAAAAATATCGCTGTTGTATCTTCTTCTGCTCTCTATTTATTTCAGATTATATATTTAAACAATAATATGAGGAAGTAATGACCGCATAATTCAAAGACGTTTTAACTCGTAACCTTGTATATTATGCGTGTGAACTTCAGAGAGAAAGTAAAGCAACATGAACAATGCACACATACAAACAAACAACGACGAATGGAGCATAAAAAATATACGTGTGGCCGTAATATAGAATAAAGATTATTTTTAAATATAATTTAATAATAAATGCACAACATTTTTTTTTCTCATTTTTCTGCTTTAATTATTTTATTCTGATTTAAAATTTTAAAACTTATCAATATGTTAGAGTACGAAAATATTAATTTTATTTATTTTTGCTACTTAATTTAACGACGTAATTACTATATGAGAGAATAGTATACGATAAAATGTATGCACTGACGTAACGAGTTGACGTGTGATGAACTACTTATAGAATAAATCGAAATGATACGTATACTATTTTTTTATGCGGTTAATAGCTGCAAATAATAACATTATATATTTGTGAATATAATATGTATTTGTATTTATGTATTAATAATATTCAACTGGAAATTATAATCTTGTACTGTATTCTAATAAACTATAAAAAAAAAAAATTAATTTCTATTATTCTTATCCATCAGGTTCCTAAGTTATAAAAATATTTCTCGTATTTATCAAAAACATTTATTTAGCGACGATAATTTTTAATTTCGAATAAAAAATACCATTTAACAATAAATTGTTGATTAGTTACAAAAAAAAATATTGACATTAAAACTACAAATATATCACAGTTTACAAATTACTACAATCATGTAAAATACTAAAATTTGAACTTCAACGTCAAATTTTCTATGTAAAATATTTTTAACTAAATAAAAGATGTTTTTAGTGAATTTAACCTTATATAGTGTTGTCTTCATAACCAAGATCTACTGATGGTAAAATAAATATTTTATGCATACAAATTAGATTCTTCATTTCTTCTTTTATGGTATTGAATGTAAATATTTTTTCTAATGGGTAAAGAGTTTAAAAATGTTTCTGTCTAATTTCTACGTAAAAATTCAAATTTTATTAAATTTTTTTTTGAAAAACGATTTTTTAAATTGACTAAAAATAATAATATTTACAAAATAACAAAATTTAAATCTTCCGGTATCGTCTTTTTTCTAGTAATTTAAATTTAATATCTATCTCATATTTTATATAATTATACAATTAATTGATGAAAGTAACACATCGTATTAAATAGACTACCTACGTTGATAGATTATTTTGATAAGTATAAATCAGTGAAATGAGTACCAAAGTACCGTGAAACAATTCTAAAGCAAATTTTGGACATTATGGACATTTTTTTAAAATGGAATATTGCTTTCCCTTTTGATCGAATAATTGGCAAATTTTATTGTATTTCAATAATGATCCAACTGAAATTAATATTTGTTTTTCTTTTGTAGACATTTTTTTTAAAATACTATGTTCTATGATGCATTTTTTTTAACGAAAAGTAGACAATTATTGATAATTGACAAACCTAATGGCTGTTGGTTGACCTTGGTTGATCCTAGTAAATGTATTTAATAATAATTCTTCATTTTAAATATATTTAACAATAATTCTTTATTTTAAATGTATTTAACAATAATTCTCTATTTTTAATGTACAATTAGAATTGCATGTTTAGTATATGCATCATATTTTTAAGACTAATTAATTAATTAATTTAAGTATTTCTGATAAATGTATAGTACATTGTATTAAAATAAGACACTAGGCAACACACGTTATACTTAAAATAGAATTAAGCAACAAATGAAATCTGTTAAGCATTAACAATACGAGATGTTGGTCAAATAAGCGATTTGACTAATTTAAAACAAATCGCTTAAAGCATTTTCGCTGTTTGAAGTCCAGTTTTATGTATGAAGTCGACACCAAATGTAAATTGAAACAGTCAATTTCAAGCTTCATCTGCTTTCTATATAACACGTTTTAATACGTATAACTTAATAACATTTCATCAGTGATCTCCGGTATTACGACAAATACTAGAACTGTATCGACTCATTACGGTTATTATGCAATCAAAATGTATATTTCAAACTATATTTATATACTACGACGTCGGTAAAAATTGAATGACCACACACCACATTTTATATAGGTGCAATTTATCTATGTGGTTACTGGTTATAATATTACAATGAATTGTAATAAGTGCAATGTGATAATCAGTTAAAAAACAAATAACATATACATATTTTTATTTTATATGATTCAGCCCTTATCGATTTCATCACTTATAATAATCGTAAATGCTATTTTATAGATTGTGCAATAAAAATATAAGATTAAGTTTATAAAATAAGGTATCTAGTAAAAAAATAAATGTAATAAATATAATAAATAAATTTAAACCTAAATTTGTGAAAAATGAGAAGGAAAAATAAAAATAAAACGTTAACTAATCTATTTGAAAATTGTCACTATTAGGTGTATAATATTTTCATTTATGTTTATGCCATAAGATTATATTCACTCACATGATAATTGTAAATTGACAGTTGTTAATTGACAATTACAGATTGTATATTCAAATAATAGAATTAAAAAAAAAAAATTCATTATTATCAGTTTGGATATGTCTAGTTGGTAATGTCTTCATTTGAATTAACTTTCAAAAAATGTTTAATATTCACTTCAAATTTAAATAAACGTCATACTCTTAATGATTATCGTCAGAAAATTGTTGAAACGATCCGATCAGAATCTAAAAATGAAGAAATAATAATTTATGAACATCAAATCTTTTTTCAATATTGGACTAACATAATCAGCTATAGGTACGCTTCACAGCATGATTCAATGTACTATGTATTGTCTATTCATAATTTTTGGGGGTCGAATTTTTTGATAGGTCTTGAAGCATCAAAAAAATGTTTAACATTTAAAGTGATATATATTATTTACATTTTGATAAAAAAAATTTTAGGATCTTATAATATATATGAAAAGGAGATAAATTTAATTGAGATGTTTTTTTATCAGAAATTATGAAGTTAAAAGTTAATGATTCAACAGTTTTTATATATTTACACAAAAAAATTAAATATTTTTATGCTGATATATAGCATGTAAACATAAAATTTTCAAATACCTTGTTATATATTGTAAAATAATACTAAGCACTGCTTAGTAGATCTTTAAGGCAGGAGATTAAAAGTATTGAGGAATCATATGCTTATTACATTTAAGTGTTTAAAATAAATTAACGTATGGTATATTATTATAATTAAATTTGATATTTTTAAATCTTAAAACAATTACAAGAATCTCATTAATATAATTTTATTCTAAAAGATCTATTTTTCGGAGAGGTATTTGTATATAGGTATAGTATATTTGTGTAGTGTATATTTGTATAGGTATTTGTAAATTTAAACTGTTTGTATTTAAAATTAAATTAATTGGTAGTAAGATATAAACCCTTTGTCTTCAAATTAGTTAAAATGGGTTTTTATTTTATTTAAAACGAAGATTATATTTTTTAAAAACATATATAGGATTTTTACCATTATTTATTTCTTATGTACTCATTTTTGGTTTTAAAATTATTTTAATATTTATTAGTTTTGCATCTAGATTCTGAGTGTCTGCAGGATCTATAAAATTGCTACAAAATCAACAAATAACGTAAATAATTTGAACATGTGTTTATTTTAATTGTTATTAATTTATTTGATGTAACTTTCTGTATTGATCTTAATTTATTTTAAAATATCTTGAATTATCTATCTCGACTTTTGAGTTTATACCACTTAGTATTAAGTACCAATTTAACTTTTTTTTTTTTTATAAAAATACCTTTTAATGAAATTATTATTTAAAACTAATAAAGATTATGCAATTGCTAACTTTGATATAAATTGCTTTTTTACTAGCATTAATTTTTTTATATTCCAATATTTAAATTAATAGTGTAATTCATTTAATAACCTAATAAACCTAATAATTTCATATGGTTCATTGAGTTATCGATTTTTAAATGTCAAACACTGCCAACATTTTAAATGTGTTCATATATTCGTTCATCTTATATATCTCGTTCAGTCTTACCCACAGTTTAATTTTTATACCAGATTTCATTTCTCCCTAAAATATTATTACATTAGATAATATAATAAGTCTAGTAAAGAAAGGAAACTCATTTGCACGGCTGATAAGTCCTAATAAGAATATTATTCGTATATTTATTTTTGACATGTGAATAAAAATGAAATGCTCATTATGAATATGTAGTTAAATTAACCTTAATAATTATGTAATTAAACTATACCTTTAAAATATATTGTTTTTCATAAAACAAATCAACCAATA